CTTTGAAAATTTTCATATAGTTGTCAACATTTCCCGATTCTTGAAATTCATCAAATTCATCAGGAGATAACTAGAAATGATGAATTGATGATGTTTCTTCTTTTCTTTTTGTTAATGGACTACTTGAAAAATAAGAGTAAAGTGTGCCTTTGTAAACTGCAGGTGCTGTTGAATGAAGACGAAGCTTCTGAAGAAATGCAAAACAGCATACTGCTTAGACCGCCCGAGGAAAGAGAAGAAGTTCGGATCAAACCAAACCCAAATCTTAAAATTCAACCAGTATTCATCGACCCATGTCCTAGAAAAGCTTCCAAGGAGAAAAGTTTAACCAGCCTAAGCACTGGCTTGTGCTTGGAGATAAGTGGGAGGGTACAACATGGCACTAACGAACTCGATGTCTTGTGACGAGTCACTTAAACAATTCTTTGGATGACCGTTATTTTACTTCTTCTGGAGTTTTTGTCTGAACTGTGCATGAGGCTATAATTTTAGCACAACTTGAAGCTGACTGCTATGTTTCTATGTGAGATTGATTGGGGTTCTGTCTGGTTTTGATATTGATAGGAAATATGCTCTGCTTGTATGATCATTATCCATTAATATTCACTAAATTGGTTGGTTATATATAATAATTTATGGGATGACTATAGTCCCGTTGACGGATGATTTCGTCAGTATTTTCTACTGTAATATTATCTACACTAAATTGATCTACATGTATATCTCCGGAAGAAAATACTGATTCCATCAATGGGACTGTAGTGCCTCTCTAATTTATGATACAAAGATAAATTTAATTGATATTTTTTAAAAATGTTAATTAAGCAGTTTGTCCAATATCCCTTTTATATATAATTCTCAAATGTGTTGAACTTGAGTCTAAGTGGTGGACTCGGCTTTGTGTTCATTTGATACAAATTTTCATGATTTGTCATTTGACTTGGATGGATTTAATTTACTCTTTCAAAATATTAAGTTTGAAATAACCATAATTATATTAGATATTTATAGTCCCTTTTAAGATATGTTACATTTCTCATCACAAAATTGCATATAGATATTTTTATTTCCACCTAGTACTCGACAACATCCTCACCAAAAATACTAAAGAAAATAATAATTAATAAACGAATAAATAATCATATATATATATATGTATATATATAAAGAGGTTGTTAGAAAAATACATTAATAGAAAGTTTGACCAAATAAATATAATGTTTGACTTACTATTAATGGAAAGTTCGAAAAAACAGATATGAATCTATAGTAACAAAATCTGAATCTTATTTTTTTGACAACAAATTTGGAGATTCTTATGGCAAAATTTGAATTCCATTTTTTTCGTATCATATTTTATTTTTTTATCAAAATTTAAATCATATCTTTTTTTGTAACAATTTGGAAATTCTTATGCAAAAATTGTGTCAATTATTTATGAAAACAATTCTAAATACAAATTAATTTAAAAACCTTGCAAATTTGGTACAAATTTAAGAAATAAATAGTTGTATGATTCTTAACAAATTCTTCCAATATTACTGAATATTTTTTTCTTTCAAAAAAAGTGTATAAATTGAATAAAACCACGTGAAATTTTTATTTTAAAATAAAACTGATATTTGGACGGGATGTACATTCAAAATTGTGTCCACGTTTTTTGATAACAAAAGCGGTTTCATCTTGGATATTTATAGTCACCTTATCCAATTAATTAGGAAAAATTGTGTGCGACTTTTCAAAATTTGAAGGCATCGATTTTTTTGAATTCTTATGTTTTTTCTTAACCATGTTTTACCGAGATTTTGGTAAGTTCATATCATTTTTTTTCTTGGTTAAGTTCATATCATTTTCTTTAAGAAAGAGACAAAACATTAACAAATTATTTTAATTTTTTATTAGAATTAGTTTCAATTCAATTTGTTTGGTAAAAAAATTGGTGCAATGTTAGAAAATTTCGGTTGCAATTTTAGAAAAAATTGATGATTTTTTTATTTGGTTTAAAAAAATATTCGGATCAATTAGTTTGATAAAAAAAAATCAGTTTATTGGTTGAAAAATCGATTTCATTTTCAGGAGTAACTAATGATGTTTTCAATTTTTCTTAATTGAAATTTAGAATTAGATTTAAATAAATAATGAGTGAAAATCCCTAAAAAAATTTACTTTTTTTTTAACTTCAATTTTGTTCAATAAATAAGATCCTTTACATTTTTTAGAATTTGTTAACTAATAACTAATAATATGCAATTTTGGATAAATTCGAACACCTGTGTAGTATTTTACGTGCCAAAAAAAAAAATCAATAATGTTGTACGTAAAGAAGTATTTAATAACATATAAATTTCATTTTTATGAAAATTTTAATAGCATAAGACAATTTAAATACAAAAATATTTAAAGAAAATATATATAATAAATGTTGTTTCGCACGCACACCATACTAGTTGTTATAATCAGATTGCTTTCTCACCACTACTGTGCCTCTCTTAGGCCAGCTTTTGTCAGCCTTTTGTCCCCATCACTGAACACTTTAGTACTATTTTCTACTGAACTAAACTCGCATCTACACACAAAAACAAACCCACTTCTTATTTCAAGAAAATTTCTGAACTTTCTAATAATATTTATTCTCTCGGTAAAGCGCACCAAATCTTGAGTTACAATTTTAGGGAGATGGGTGGATCTGGAGCCGTTAGCTTCCTTAAAGTGCTGGCCAAAAATTTCGATGTTCTTGCTGGGTAAAATCATCTCTTCTCCATCCCATTTGCCTTATTTGTGGAAATTAAGGATTGAGTTCACTGTTTGTTTCTGTGTATTTTATCCAAAATTGGTTGGTTTTTATATGTATTTGGGAGTTGGATTTCTTGCAGTAAAGATGATACTTTACTGCAATAAATCATCTCTTTTCGATCCCAATTGCCTTACTTGTGGAATTTAAAGGTCGGGCTCACTTATGGTTTCTGTATATGTTATGCAAACGTGGTGGGTTTTTTAATTTGTATTTGGGAATTGAATTTCTTGCAGTGAAGATTGAAACTTTAAGCTTAAAAGTAAATCATATACAGTTGCTATAACTGTAATTTAGTTGTTTTTTTGCAAAAAAAGATTTGATTTTTCTTGTAAGAGTGATTGATTTGATCTCTTTGTTAACTGATTTGATCTCTTTGTTAACTGATTTGGTGATAATATGGGTTGATGGTGGTGGCATATTGAGAATTTCGGCAGATATGCTTCGATTAGGGCCATCGAGACAAAATCGCCAGTTGATGATCAGCAATGGCTCACTTATTGGGTTCTTTACTCTATGATTACCCTTTTTGAGCTTACTTTTGCAAAGCTTATTGAATGGTAATTCTTTTTTTTTTTCTCCCCATTTTTCCCTTTTTCCGGTTTTGTTCTATTGCCCTTGTAGTCGTTATAGTTCTTTGATTATGTCTAGTATGTAGTGTGGTTGCTTATTGAGACATATTGAAACAAATTTTTGAGAAAAATCTGTGCTTTTACGAAGTATAATGAGAAAAATCGTTCATTCTGGATATTGAATCCGGAGAACTTTTGGGGAATAATTGGGGCAAGAGAAATTAATTTTCGTTGTATAAATTAAGCTTGTTTAGGACTTGACTGGGATGTAAATAGTAAATACCCATTAAATCATATGTCATCTTGCATGCTCGTTTATTTGCTTTCTATGCCATTCAAATAAGAAAATTGACGCCCTCGTTTATTTTCATTATGGTTTATTCGTCGTTTAATCATCTGAAACGCGTGTTTCTATCATAGGTTACCTTTCTGGTCTTACATAAAGCTAATATTCACCTGCTGGCTGGTCATACCGTACTTCAGTGGGGCTGCATATGTTTACGAGCAATATGTTAGGCCTTATTTGGTTACTCGGCAAAAGACAGTCAATATCTGGTACGTCCCGAGGAAGAAGGATATTTTCGGCAAGCCGGATGATATTCTAACGGCTGCAGAAAAATACATCCAAGAAAACGGGCCCGAAGCATTCGAAAAGATGATTAACAAGGTATATATATGATTTTCGCTTTCTTCTTCTTCTTTTTTTCTTTTCTTTTCACGTCTCATCTGATATTTTTTTTTAATTATTATTTTTAATCCAGTCAAGAGAAACTACTACCCAGACCAGCAAATACTCGTTTTATGACGACAACTATAGATATGAGGAAGACTATAGGTACTGATCATGGCGAATTTTTTACTGCATTTTGTGAAAAACGGCCTGTAGCTTTGTCGATACGCTGTGTAATATACTTTCGAAACTTACAGTTTTTTTAGATATCCTGTTTTCTAATCATCCAATGTAGCCGCTAGTTTTCGACGCATGAAAATGTTTCTTACCGTTTATCATTTGAGAAGTTTCGAGATGTAATGTTTGTTTGTTGTTCCAACTTCGCTTATTTGTTGGCTAAACAATGTTACGTAATGTTCGAAGGACGATAATTGGGTTTGTATTCAAAATCGAGTGGAGCTCGTGCTGTGTAGTGCGCAAGCTCAAGTGTTCGACGAGCTGTTTGAGTATACACATGATTAACTAAATGCACTCTTAGTTCGAGCCAAATTCAAAAAACATTATTATTTGAATACACATTTTTTTTTTTAATTAAAATTTTGAGTTAAACTCTAGTAAAATGTGAGTNNCCGAGCCTTGAAATGCTTGGCTCGACTTTACGAGCTTAAAGAAATCGAGCTAGTAAAAGAATTCGAGTTTAGTTCGATAAGACCGATACTCGACTCGGCTAAAAAAGGTATTTCGTGGATGAATTTGAGGCCCATAATAAGGTCCAAAATGCTGGCTTAGACGGTGGGCCCCCCAAACAAAGTCAAAATTGGACAAAAAATTATTAATAGATAATAATATGGGGCATTCCGAGAATTGAACTCGGGACCTCTCGCACCCTAAGCGAGAATCATACCACTAGACCAAATGCCCTCTTTGAAATTCATTTTACAATTAAACCTGAACAATATTATAATAAACTCGTTTGGACCAGCTGTGAGATATAATTAGTATTGAGCTTTACTTTAGACCCCTTTTTATGTTAAACTGTTCTTAACATTAGTTTCATTTCATAATCATCATCATACATTTCAAAATTTTACTCTTAACATTCATAGAAAATTAGAAATGTTACAATTGCCCCTTGTTAACACATCAAGGAAGTGGTTATGCCCAAACCTCATACGGATCTTTTTTCCTTAGCTTACGGAGACAAAATCAAACATTCATAAGAGTTTGAGCTCGATTCGACTCGTTTACAGCTCTATGAGTACATTTGCAACACGTGTTTGTAACATTCATAAGGTCAATGTTGAAAAGCCACCATGATTTCATTTCTTGCTTGGCTTGATTAGAGACTCTTGCTATTATTACGTTGCTTAAGTACACATCTATTGATCCCCAATAAGAGAGAGAGATAGAGAGAGATAAAAATGGGCTAATTATAGTGTGGCATAACTTAGAATGCATAGTATTTCAAGGCCTGCTTGTGACCAAATTTGTGGCTTGTCCTTTCCGCAAATTTCGTTCTCTCAAGCATCTCTCCATTTTTCTTTTTTCATGGATCTCTCTCTCTTTCTCAGACATTTGCAGTGTGTTTTGTTTTGTGCTATTCTCATTCAACACTCGTAAGAAAACGACGAATGTGATTGGTGAGACAAAAAATGATAGAAACCATGATGACGAACTATGCTTTTTTTCTCGCGGCTTTGAAGTTGTAGCATGGGCAATTGCCTCCTAAAGGACAATCAAGTCGTGTTGGAAATCAATGAGGTTAGAAACAACTCTCAAGAATACATCCGAAGGGAGGAAGATCAAGTCGAATGGCATAATAATGGCTCGATAGTTTGTTCTATAAACAACGAGGCCAACCACGCCGGGTTTCAAGATCATCAACACGCGTTCGGATTTGACGAGAATATTGAGATGGATGAAATTCATAATAAACGACCTTTACATCGAGCCCCACATCTAGGTACAATCTCTCTCACTCTCTATCTATATAAATAACCAATTCATAAAAGAACTTGGATTTCTTTCCACATTTTGGTCTGAAGAGTGTTCATAACTATGTTAAGACAAGGCTTTCCTTATATATTTACAAATTTCTTAGGTTTATTTAGTATCATCAAGTGTGTCGAGGTATTTTTTGTCCAATAACAGAGATAGATAGAGGCTCGATCTAACTATATCGTGCCCTTTCCCCCACCAAGCGATGTTTACAAAGCAAAGGACTGATCTTTCATGCGTCGAACCACGATTGCCCCGTTGTTCATGTTTCGAAGCAAATAAATGCAATTGATGATTTTTCTTTTAACAAACTTTTAGTTTATATAGTACTTTTCATATCTTATGATCCAACTAACTAACTAACCAACCAAATTATATCTTTTTTTTTTTCCAGCTTTCATGGAAAAAGACAATCAAAGGAGCCACCCATTACCAACTCCAGACCTTGCACCACATCCTCAATGGCCCCACAAACACCATACAAATTCAATCTTGCCATTGCCCAGGCAAGAACTAACACATAACCATAAATACGAAGAGTCAAGTTCGATTTCACCACAAACGGTTCTATCTGATGCTGCGGAAAGCGAGATACTCTCATCCCCATACCTAAAGCCGTTTGCACTATCCGTACTTATAAATGCCACGTCAAACTTTAGTGAGGATTGTCTACTCGGGGAAGGTGGGTTCGGATGCGTTTACAAAGGATGGTTGGATTTCGAAACCTTAAATGCCGCAAGGCCGGGATCGGGTTTACCCGTCGCTATCAAGAGGCTAATACTTTATGGCTTTCAAGGTCACAAAGAGTGGTTGGTTAGTTTTTTTCTCTTTTAAGCATTGATGGTAGCTAACATATAAACATAAACAATGTGCATTGATCGCCGATCCTTCTTTGATTCTATTTCGTGTTTTATTTCGTGATTAGTGTTGTAAAAGCAAGAAAATAGGGATGAGAAATATTGGTATATTATATTAGAGAAGATGACTACAGTCCCGTTAGAGGATGGTTCCGTCAGTGTTTTTAACCATCAGATACACATGTAGATTATGTAGTGTAGATAATCTACGATTAAAAATATTGACGGAATCATTCCGTCAATGGGACTGTAGTCATTGCCATATTATAGTGCTAGTACATAAATTTTTTCAACTTTATTCCCTCCAAATTTCCCCTTTCTTGATTGGTTACACATATGATGATTTGATACAGTCCGAAGTGAACTATTTAGGTCGTCTTCACCATCCAAACCTAGTCAAGCTCATCGGATATTGCATCGAAGGTGACGATCGGATTTTGGTTTACGAATATATGTCTGGTGGCAGCTTGGAGAAGCATTTGTTCAAAAGTAATTAGCCCTTCTTTTT